GATTGGCGTCAGTTGCAAATAATCTGCGCTTCACTGACGGCCAGAGCTGTTAAAAAAGAGGGTGAATGGTGTGGCTAGAATTGAAAGGGGCTAATGAAAAATGGCTGGTTAAAAGAAGATTACGAGCATCTATAGCCTCTGCCTCCGCCTTAGTAATGGTATAAAAACGGTCAACTAAGTTCCTTGAATAGTAAGGAGGAACAGGCCAAGTTTGGCCAAAACCAAGCTGACGAGCAAAAAATTGGGGAGCATAAATCTCTACCCCCGCTTTGGCATTGGTTCCAGTTAGAATATCATGAAATAGCTCCCTCCCGATTAAAAACTGGATCCAAATGAACAGGGAGATGCTCGCGCTATCTATAGTGGAAGGGGGATGTACATAGTTTGGAGTCAAAAAAGGAGGAAAAGGAAAAAAGGAAGGGATTGAATCCAAAGAATAAAAGAATGAAAAAATGTCCCTTCTGGACATATTTACAGGAGCTAAGGGCTCCATGGCTAGCCCATAACAGCTAGCAGAGGAGGGAGAGATGGATGGAGCACCAAGCAATGGAAAATAGGATCTCAACCACAGTTGAGTGAACCAAAGAGGTCCACTGCCGGTGGGAGATGCACCATTCTTCAATTGAGTTTGAAGAGAGGCCATGCCTCTATAAAGGGCAGCAAAAAACAAAGAACATAAATTCAAAGGCCTGCCACGCGCCAGTTCGTGCGCTATAGGTAAATAACTCAGGGAGGGCTTTATGCTTGGCACGCAAAAAACATATTTACAAAGCCAAATTAAAAGGAAGGCCACTCGTTCAGTATGGGAAGGTTCAGCGCTCAAATGATTGTGAAGGGTCTGCAGGCTTGAATAAGAATCGGTGTAGTTTTTACCAAACTTTGGGGCGCCACCAAAAACCAAGATACCAGGAAAAATGGTATCGCCCAAAGGTGGTAGATTCACCAAGGCCTCAACATCCCTTAAGGTAATAGACATGGGGCCAAGAGGGAAAATAAAGGTGTTATACTCAGGAGACCAAAAACTCAAAGTAATCGAAAGAGTGCTGAATCAAAAGTAGGGGGGCGAATAGAGATTTCTAACAAATCAGAAATCCTAGCGCTATCAAAAAGTGCCTTAGTACGACCATGACCCACAAGACGAGCATGCCACCTACGAAAAGCTACATCAGATTTAGGCCAAGTGCGAATACCTCTTTCGCGAAGTTGCCCCAGCGGCAGAGAGTTTAGAAAAGGAGGGCCATGAGTGCAAGGAAACAGCTGACCCACCGCCGCCTGTTCAACTGCCTTTGCATTGTTGAAGAAAGGACCCAAGTAGAACTCATTACGTTCGACATCGACGGGCGCGAGAAAACTTGGAGTTATGTATGGGCGACTCAGAAGTTTCTGAAAGTCATCAAAACTAAAGGAGTCGCTAGCTTGAAATTGTGAAGCAGCCATTTGAGAAGGAACGAAGTTTTTCAGGGTTACGTAGCAGGGAAGCAAGAGATGAACAGTAAATCGTGAGAGAGATGCAAAAAATTTGAGGCGTGGTTTAATGGTGCAGTGAAATGGCCTGTTTGGGGTTTATAAGGGCTTGCAAAACGACGCACCTTTTCAAGTTATAAAAGAAAACAATGATTGAAATTCTTGGCAATTTAAAAATGTTGCTGGAAACACAAAGTGAATATGGCAAAATTTAATAATTATTATTAATTCTGCCATATTGGGGGGTAATTGTTGACACATAAAAATTCAGCCCAAATCGAACAGCCTAAGGAGTGAAGCACAATTGGAGGATCCTCAAATCAGATAGCCCAAAGAACGAAGCCCAATCGAACAAATCAAGATGAAGGCCCAAATAAGAAGGCCCAAGAACGCGGTAACGCCATCGCCCAAGTTTGCAAGTCGCCCAGAATCTGAGCGAATGGAGTGTCATACAGTCGCCCAGAACTGTTACTCTATTCTCGCTCAAACCTTCAAGTCGCCCAAGGTCTTAACAAATATAAAGCGTCGTGATTATCAAGAAGTGCAGTTATCAAAACAGTTATTAAAGCAGCCCTATCACGTTCCACGATTCAAGGAATTTAATCGAAAGCGGTTGAACGATGAAGAGTAATGGCAGCAGTTAAAAAATACATGTTTTCATGACAAGTTGGCGATTACGAAGAAAGTGGGCAGTTATAGGACGATCAAGCAGTTTTGAGGGCGGTTGATCACAAAGAGATCGTCTATGAAGTATAAAAGGAAGAAAGGACATAAAAGCAAGGGACCGAATCCAAAACTCTCGAGCAGAGAACATGTAATTTTAATTTCCTTAGTCTTAGACTTAAACACTTTTCTTTCAGTAACTCGTGTGCTTGCGCCCCTTGGAGGCACGTTGTTTTTCATTTCCAATTGTAAAGTCATCGCCAATAAAAGAACACCCCTTTTTGGGACTTTGTCTCAAGAGGTTTGTCCCTTACACAATCGTCTGATCCTTTTTAATTGTTAGCGACTAACCCGCGCAAAACAATATGATTGAAAAGTTGTGGATTACATAAAATATATGATTAAAATTAATTGTTAACTTTAATTTAATATTTTAACCAATTTTTAATTTACACCAAAAACGGAGGTTAAGTATCAAACGTCACTTACGTAGTTGGATAGACGTGTAAGAATAATGCACATGGAAATTAAGTAATCAGCCATTGATTATCGTCCAGTGAATTTTTTCTATAATTACCAGAAGGAAATATGCATTAATTAAATGGGCAGTTCCCATTAATTAATTTATACTTTCTTCAAAGAAAAGTCAACTTAAGTGTCATGTCAGTGACTTCTACCTGCCATTATTCTATATTTTACCACTCATAGAAATACTATGTGCCTATCAAAATATCCAATTTCTGTACATATTTTAATGTTTAGTGTAAATTAAAAGTTTATAAAATATAAATATAAATTACTAATTAATTTTCACCAGAAATTCTAATTTATTAATCACATATTTTATCAAAATTTACTGAAATTTTAATTTCTATCTAAACCAAATATGGTATAATTTATAAAAGTTTTCTAGGACCATTTGAAAGTACGTGCAAATATTGTAATTTGTAGTTTTATTGAAAATCAGATTTTTTAATAAAATTTTGATAAAGTTGATGAAACAATGATTAATAAAAATTTATAAATTATGAATGTCGTATAATTTTTGGATTAAAATTAATAATTGATTTAAAATTAAGTTTTTATCATTTTTTTTTTATTAAAATCGATTCTATGGTTGGACCAACGAAAAAGTCAAAATTCATTAGGGGAAAAGTTTGTTGAGAGGATATGACATTTTCCCACGGCGCATGTTAGTGCAAGTACATGTAATAATTACCTTTTTTTTTTTTTTTAAATCAATTCTATGGTTGGACCAAAGAAAAAGTCAAAATTCATTAGGGGAAAAGTTTCGTGAGAGGATATGACATTTTCCCACGGCGCATGTTAGTGCAAGTACATGTAATAATTACTTTTTTTTTTTTTGCCCCCAAGGTGTAGCCTAATGATGTAAAGGTTTTTTTTTTTTTTAATCAATTCTATGGTTGGACCAAAGAAAAAGTCAAAATTCATTAGAGAAAAAGTTTGGTGAGAGGATCTGACATTTTCAATAATTAAATTTTTTCCCCTTTCAGGACATAGCCCAGTGGTATAAATGATATGAATGATGCTATCTCCCGCCTTCTGACAGTCGCAGTGTGGGGTTCGATTCCTGAGACATGAAATTGGACTATTTGTAAGCGCAGTGTACAGACAGTTCTTGTTCTCTAACCTGTTAGGACACATCTCGCGATTTACCTCCTCACAAAATTTTAGAAACGTGGTGATGGGACCCTCAAGGTTGGGCCCAACCTTTTAATAATTACTTTTTTCTATTTTGTTTTGAGTTCATCTTGTAATAATTACTGACAACGCTGAATATGAGATGTCATTAACTTCAAAAATTAATTCCTTTTATTTATAGATTTTAGAAATCTTATTTCCAAAATCCTCTTTCAATATGCCACGCGTGATAGAATTTTGTACCCTCAAATTTATTGTTGACACCATGTCAACATTTTTTCATGTGAGCATGTTTCTCCAAATTTATTTATTTTTCTTATAATAACGTGGGAGACTTGTAATATTGTGTCGATCAAAATTCATATAACTGCAAATCTTATGATTTATAAGAAAAAAATTAAAAATTCCAAACTTTTAAGATTTTTCATTTTTTTTTTGCCAATTGCGTCCTTCATTGACATACTATATGTGTGGTGATGTAGGGTATGTTTGGCAAAGGATTACAGTAAATTTCATTTAATTTGTAAGATTGTTTGTCGTTATCTAATTTACTTAATGAAAACAATACCATGTAGAGGTGTAGGGTATATCTGAAACAATATAAATTCTATTTAGTTTGTCCGAACATTTGTCGTTATCTTATTTACCTTATTACGCGTGTCATGCATTAGATCGATAATATTGTTATGATAACGCCAACAGAAGTATCAAGTCGATAGTGACCAATCATTATCCATTGCTAAACATTCAACACGTGTACCCTAATTTTCATAAATCAGCACTTTAAGCTCTTGTTAAATATAAATTCTTTAAAATTCATTTTGAGCTGTAAGTTCTTCTATAAATAATTTTGTACGTGAACTCATAATTTTTTGCTACTTTTTAGTCACATAATTTTTTTTTAAAAATTGCTTTTTAGAAAATGTATTATAAAATTTTTTTCATCAAACACGCCCTAAATATAGAATATGGATTGGTTAAAGCATGGTATACAATGTGCGCACAAACACAAGTACACAAGACGGCGACTTCGGTTTCAAATTGTTAGTGCCTTTCCTCCCTTTATTAATTACAAAATCCACAAATCCGTAACCGAGCCAAACAAAATAATCAAAATCCACATAAAACGTCGGCGTTTTACTGGTTCCCTATCCTTCAAGGAACAATTAAATATAGTTTTTACTTTGATTTTTTAAATATCCTAATCCACCTTTCCTCCCTCTCTCCGGTTCCCTCTGGTCGCGTCGTGGACTGGAGTTTGCATTCATTTTAATTTTCCAAACGAAAACCCAGAAATTTATACATACAAAAAATATATGTATAGATTGATAGAGTCAGAAGAGGGAAAGGGGAAGGTGGACGAGGACAAACGAGTTTTACTTTTATTTGCCTGCAAATAACTGGTGGAGGATGAGAGGTTTGGAGAAGAAGACTACAAATAAAAACAACCCTTTTTGTCTTCATCTTCGAATTTCTCGTTCTCATTTTTATCCTGTTTTCCAATAAAATATTTTTATCTTCCAATATTACACATATATATTTGTATATAAGCAGCGGATTATTAGAATTTGCAATAAATTCCACCAATTCACAAAATCCCAATTCTAACCCCTTTTTAACTGACTGACTGACTCACTCTGTCTTCATTTTCTTGAATTCTGTTTTTCTGCAACAATGGAAGCAACTTTGGTAAAACTGATGAAACAAGCAAAAGCCCTGGAGTGAATTTTCATGTTAAAGTCTATACAAAAATAAATAAAAGCATGGGTGATCTTGAAACGAAGAGTTCAAGCGGTGGCGTTTTGGTGGAGGACGGCCATTTGGTATTCGGGCTTGGTTCTATTTCTGGGTCGGGTCGCAGACAACCTGATCCGGCTTCAATAACCGATGAGTGTTTTCTAGCGGCAGAGGAAGCGGCAGAGCAAGTGATGAATTGCGTACACCCGACTCTTGACACAGAGGAGAAGAGAAAAGACGTAATTGATTACGTGCAGAGGCTCTTAAAGCGTCATCTTGATTGTGAGGTGATTACATGTTTTCCGATTTCAATTAACTACATTTATTTATTTACTTGTAAAACTTTTTTTATGATGATTTTTCTCTCTGCAAGTGATTTGGTTAATTTCAGTTTGCTGAATCTTAATCGAATTTTGTGCCAATATATATATATAAACACACACACACACAATTGATGGGGTTAACAACTTCACACATGGGAGGGGGGCCCACGATGAATAAAAATCGTTGACCTCCATGAGTAGGTTGTCAACTCCGGTTGTACAAATAGCAAAATTCATATCAAAATGTACGTGGGGAAAGTCGAAGTATATTCTTGAAAATAGGTTGCTTTTCAGGTGTAATGTGAGAAGTCTTTTCTTGAAGACCTTGAAGGGGTATTTTATCTGATGATTTAGTTATTTAAGTTGTAGCAGTATCAGATTGTTTTCTTTCTAGACTTGTTAGATTCTGCATTATCTATTCATTTGTGCTAGATTCAGATGATTATACCTAATTCCGAATCTCTGATCTTGTCTTTATCATTCGTGAAAAGATCGCAAGCGACAAAATTTAAAGTACAGGTGCAGTATCGGTGTCATGGCAACAAGAAGAATGTTATGTGAATATCGGTAATCTGTTTTAATTAATGGAAGGTCGATGGCTCTTTAAAAAAGTCAAGTGGGGAGCAAAATCCCTAGATTCTTGCTTATAGGTTGAAATTAGGGGTTATTATATTTTTGCTCCTATTTACGATTCTTTTGGTTTTAGTTTCTCCAAGGCATCCTATTAAACAAATGTGTTATGGAAGCCTCGAGGATCCTTACCACTAAATAAATGGAGGACTTAAACTACTTGTAAAATGATTTTATACAAGTAGTTTGACAATCCATGAGGTGTAAACATCCTAACCATTGATTTGAATAAATGTTATTCAAATCAACGGCCAAACTGCCTGTCAACTCATGGATTGTTATACTAGTTGTACATGCAGCAGGGTTGTAAATGAAGACAAGGTTCATATATACATTAGTTCTGAATAATCTTATCCCCGAAATTCTTGCATCCATCTTTCACTTATTGAAGTGTTTAGGGCTTGATAGCACTAACTTGGTTTTTACTTGTCATAGGCTTTTCCCTATGGGTCTGTGCCCCTTAAGACGTACTTGCCTGATGGAGATATCGACTTGACTGCACTTAATGCTGAGGAATCTTTGGCACACAATGTTCTTGGTATTCTGCAATGGGAGCAGCTAAATGAAAATGCAGAGTATGAAGTGAAGGATGCGCAGTTTATAGATGCTGAGGTAGTCTCGCTTGAATGCTTCGCATCTGATTTTTTTTAATCGCTCAACTTGCATATTATTTCCATTCTACATGTTTCCAATAGCTGTCACGATGCGGCTCTTTCCGATTTACTTGTGTGGTTCTCTGAGGTTTTGGTCCGATGGCAGGTGAAAATTGTGAAATGCCTTGTGCAGAACATTGTGATCGATATTTCTATTAATCAGCTTGGAGGACTTTCTACCCTTTGTTTCCTTGAGCAGGTAGAAACTACGTGTTACTGTTAGTTCTGAAATGTATAAATATGCCATTTTAGTTGCTTGGATTCCATTCATCTAAAGTATAATTACACATAATTTTTCTCTGTCACAATGAAGCTGAAATAGCTGAACGTAAAACCTTTTGTACAGTTCCATGGGTACTTTGAAATGGTAAGTTAATGTTGGCGCTTCGTTTATCTGTTATCCCTTCTAAATGATAAAAAGTGATTGCTTTTTCTACTTCTTCTTCTTCTTATTATTATTTTTTTGTTTCTTTCCTTTCCTAATTCTGGATTCAATCGCATCAAACTTTTGTACTTACTCTGCAGCGAACCCTTTCCTACTGCAGCTTTACAGATGGTATATTGACAATCTAGAATTCTGAATATGATGTTGTAATATATTTTTTTTTGCCTTCAGATTCCCAGCTTTCGAATAGTGATATGAACTTGAAGTAGATGATAAATAAATCTTTTTAAGAGAAGACCAATTCCATTCATTTATTTCCTTGTCAATTCTTTATTAAGTTTCCCGTAAATAACTCTTTATAATCAGAATGTTGGGTGCTGCACTGCTTAAATTTGTCAAGTTCTCTTCCGAATAAAACTTTCAAGGCATGCAGTAGTTATGTTCATTGAATATTTCATGATTGTTTTTAAACGCAGGTTGATCGCTTTGTTGGGAAAAAACATCTCTTCAAACGCAGCATTCTTTTAGTAAAAGCTTGGTGCTACTATGAGAGCCGTATTCTTGGCGCACACCATGGTTTATTATCTACTTATGCTCTGGAAACACTTGTCCTATATATATTCCATCAATTTTATTCATCCTTGAATGGGCCTCTAGAGGTAACTACCTTCACTATGCGATATTGACTATGTTTGTATACATAATTTGCATTTATGAAGTTCAATTTATTAAAATTATGAGCATTTTTAGGTACTATATAAATTTTTGGAATATTTTAGCCAATTTGATTGGGAAAGCTACTGCATAAGCTTGAAAGGGCCAGTTTGCATATCATTACTTCCGGATATAGTGGGTAAGTTATGCACTTGATTATTTAAAAATGGTTTCACTTCATCTGGAGGATCTGTCTCTCTCTCGTGCGCGCATGCACGCACACCGCTCTTATTGGCACTAGCAATTTTCTTTCCCCCCGATTTAATCTTTTTCACGGCCTTCTCTTTTCTGATGTGTTTGCAGTTAAGATGCCAGAGAATGGACGGAATGACATGATGCTTAGTGAAGAATTTTTAGAGAAATGTATAGGAATGTTTTCAGGTTCAACTCAGAGTTTTGAGACAATCCCAAAAGCATTTCAGCCTAAAAGTCTTAATATATTTGACCCGCTGAAGGAAAATAATAACCTTGGACGTAGCGTGCACAGAGGTAAGCAAAATTATTCATACTTGGTCAGTTATTTTAAGATTTCAGGGAAGTCGTGATAGATATTATTAAATAGAAGTATTATATTTTTTTCTTTCTTGATTTTCCAGTTTTCAGGAGAATCCATGAAAAATAAATACATGGATTATTAGTTTCACTTGCCAATGAAATGAAAGAATCGTTAGTTATCAATTTGATCCAATCCTGGGTGATACTAGATTGTTCTGTGTTGGGTTTGCATGCTTTTGTTGGGCAAAATCCCTCCACTCATAGCATTAACGAGTCATTCTTCCCTCATCAAGGTGGAAAGTCTGAAAAATGAAGAAATATAATATGATAAATAGTTTCATAGCAGAAACGTTCTGAGAAAAGTTCATTCTCACTTTACCCTTACCTGACTTTCTGACTTCAACATAGGTTCCTGAACACCTTGTCTTAAGATGCATATCTATGTCACATAGTCTGGGCTGTAGCTGCTCTAATAGCACAATTGTCACTGCAAAAGGAGAAACTTTTCAAACAAAGTTCGTTCTTACTTGAGCTCCACCTTTGCTTTCTCATTTTTCTGAAGGCAAGAATTCTTAATTTTTCTTTACTCAAGCTGCATAAAAAATTTTCACTGCTCTAGCTGGACCCACCCACACATCTTTCTGACTTTCTTGAATAACCAGAAGGCACAACGGCTGAGACCACAAGCACCCCAGTCCTCATCGTTACCCTTCTCCACAAGCAATATTTTCTGATTGAAGAATCTGTTCTTGGGAAAACATTAACATGGCATTAATTGCTTATGCTGCCTTCCAGTTATGCTGGTACTTCTGATTGTAAGAATATGAAAAAGAGTTATAGTTCACGCTTATATTCTCGATTTTTCTCCCATAGGCAATTTCTACCGTATACGTAGCGCTTTCAAATATGGGGCTCACAAGCTTGGTCAAGTTCTCTTGCAACCAAGAGATAAAGTTGCTGGTGAGATCTGCGAATTCTTCTCAAACACTCTTGCAAGACATGGGCAAATGCAAGCGAGTGTTATCGAGCATTCAGCCTTAGTGTTCAAAGATGAAGAGTCTCTGACTGCATCTTTAGAATCCTCTGCCGAATTATACTCTGAAGATGGCATGCTTCTAAGATCATCTGTCAGTGAGTTTGAGAATGATAGTATAGGGGCTGAAGACCGATTCACTTTGGAGTTCAAAAATGAGGTAGAGAGATGCTCGACAAGAGACACTTCAGAAATAGGATCAGAAACATGCTCCTCAGCTGGTGGGCTTGCAGGGGATGCATATGACCTTGCAACATCTAATTCATCTTCGAGGATTGAACATAACACATCAGATTGTACATCTAGCAGCAATAATAGTGCCTCTCTCTTGGGGAAACATTACCATAAATCCCATTACTTTGCTTCCAAATCATCAGTAGAAAATGGAAGCGTAGCAAGTGGGAACTTTCACCAAGATGACCTATCAAATAGTACTCATCAGAAGTTTGAATTAACTTCATGGCCAGAGAGAAGGGTGAATCATGTGAAAATGAATAATACATACAGATGGTGTATGGATAATACAACTTTCTCGGCTTCGAAGGCCTGTAATTTTGAAAATCTATCCTTGGGTTGTGGGGAAATTGATCTCTTTAGTGTAGCAGGAGAGTCTGATGTAGCCTTGAATCCTTTGGCAGACCTCAGTGGAGATTATGACTGCCAAATTAGGAATTTACTATATGGTCAACTATGCAATGGGGTTTATTTGTCTGCTCCTCCATCCAATCCTCCTCCATTACCTTCTAGGATTCAAAATAAGCAGTGGGACACTGTTTGGCGACCAATGTCACTGCTTAGCCCGAGTCAGTTTTCTCAAATGAACTCAAACACTCTGTTTCCAGGACCACTTATGGGTCATGGTATTGATACTGCATTGCCCACTGTTGCTTTCGGTTCTGAAGGAAAACAAAAAGCACGAGGAACTGGAACTTACTTTCCTAATATGGTATTTTTCGCTTGTAATTTGAGTGCATGTTATCCTCTTGTTCCTTTTAGATTATTCGTAATTTAGCATGATCTTACTATCTATCTTGCAGAATGGTTCTTCCAGGGAGAAACCTTCATGTGGGAGGGGAAGGAATAAGCAACTTAGAAGTCGCAATCAGAATCAGAGACACAACTGCAGCAATGGAAATGTATTAAGTTCATCTTCGTGGAAGTTGAATTATTTTGAAGATGGTACTCGTGAATTCGTACCTGCAAGCAGCAGATTTCAAGGCCAAGGAAAATCTGATGTATGCTGCCAGTCTCCTCCTCGTTCAGTGAAAGATGATAACCATACAGATGGTTTTGAAAATGCATTACTTAAAATCGAGTTTGGATCTTTAGGGAGCCTGGCTGAAGAGGTAATATCGGGTCTATCTTGTGCTTGGGACTCGACTCATGGCATCTCAACGGGAGGTCAGGATTCAATAGCAGTGATGAAACAGGAAAGGTAACCATTTAAAATATATGATGATTTAGAGGTTTATTACTGAATGCTGGTTAAAGTTGTATCTGGTTTTCGGTTTCAGGGTTACAGAGCGGTCATTCCACCTCAAGAATGAAGATGAGTTTCCCCCTCTATGCCAATAAAATGACATGTAAAAACTTTTAGATGTTAACAAACTACAGGACCTCAGGAACAAGGAAGTATAATATATCTGTTTATGCTTCTCCATTTAGACACAAGGTAATAGTAATATAGAATTTTGCTCATTTTTGGATTTTTGCTTTGCCTTTCTTCTCCATTTCTGTTTATTGTTTAAAATGTTTTTTTGATTGTTATTTTTTATTTTTATTTTTTCTATTTTAATTTACAGTTAGATTTTAATAACTTTTTCCAAATGTTTACCAAAACACAATGAAAGTTTAGATTTACAGAAACGACAAGTCAACTTGAACCCAATTAGAAATAATACAAAAATCATTTTTATTTTTCTTTTTCTTTTGCATGTTTTGTAGAGGGGTAGAGTGCCTTCAATTGAAAAAATATGACGAGTTTTGTCTTGACTCTTCTTTGAAGGTTAGAAATGTGTCAATTTTCATAGATAAGCCATAAAAATAATATAGTTTCTAAAATGTTTTTCAACGTTTTTTAATACAAAAACATCTTCCTATACTTTTTTTATTTTTTATAACACGTGATATAAAAGTGTAATACATTACTTTATTAATAAAAGTATCGCATACCATAGTAGTGGTCGCTATACTACTATCAACACCGCCACCATCACCTTCATCGGGCCCTAACTCCACCTCTCCACTATCAACACAACAAATTTTCTCTCAACACTTTCAAATCTTCCCACTGACGTATCTCTACCACCATAATCATAAATGTCAATCTAGGCAAGTTGACCATTAGGTTGTTTGAATGCCCATGGACACTATAAATAATTATCTTCTATTTCAAATTTAATAGACCAATTTCGTATTGTATATATACGTGTATATGTTGAAATAAAATAATAATCATGATACATTGTTATAATATATACAAATGCCATACTTCATGTATTCTATTCAAAATTTTCGAGGACAAAACACAAAGTTGTGTTCGTTGAAAATCTTGCAATTGTTGTGTTGCTTTCATAAGAGGGAAAATTGGTTATATCTTGGGAGATGATTGCATATATCTTTAAACATCGTAGAATGGAGCAAATTCGTCTTAACAATTGATTTTGACAAAGCATATTATGGCCTCAGGCTTACTTAAGCTCAGCCGTAGCCGTATCTTTCTCAAATGCTTGAAATAAAGTGGAGAATTTTAACTAAAGGATGACTTTTGGGCTAGAATGATCAATTCACTCTATCTACAGCTCTAAATCGTTACATATCTTTTCTTTGATTTTATCCTGCTCCAATTTACAAGAACGTAGGGGCGGATGTAGCGGGGGCAGGGCAGGGTCTTCCCGCCCATGTTAAAAACTAATAATAAAATGTACAATTTTGGCCAAAATATTTGTGATAGCCTATCTCTAGTTTGAATCCCAGCTCAAGTCCAATATTCAATTATTCAAATTTTGTTAAAGAGACTACGATTAGTAAATACATTTATCATGACGTTCTTGAAATGTATCTTATTCTCAATTGAGGTTATATATTTAATGCATTTTTTTACTAAATTTATTATAATTATTAAGTAAATTTTACAATAGATAATTTGTATTGATCAAATCTAAAAATAAATTATTTATTTTAATATTTGATAAATTAATTTGACAATATGTGACCAATAAATAACTTGTGACTTATAAGTATGCATCTATGACCATTAACTATATAATTGTAATCTTAATATATTTAATTAATAGAAATTTTTTAATTAATTAATTAATATATGAGTTTTGAATTTTGAAACTTAAAACCTGAAAATTGAACTACCCTATATTTAATATCTGATTTTTGAATTTTTCCCATTTTGAATTGTCAGAATTGGCGCGTTTTTGGTTGAAGAAAATGTGTGAAATTGACTTGCTTGGGCCAGGACAAGGGATGCAGGCCGTGCCAGGCTCTGTTATTTTAGCCCACTTCTAGTCCAAGTGATCCATCTAGGCCTTATTGAGCTTTTAGAAAAATATTTAAAAAAAAAAAAAAAAAAAAAACTAAGAACTCTGTTCAGTATAAATTAAAATCTGATAATAATTTCAAATTAAAGTCAACAATTAATTTTCATCATACATTTTAAAAAACTTGCAAGTTTTAAACCACACATTTCATCAAAATAAGAATCTAATTTTAATCTAAACCAAATTGAGGCTAAAAATGTTTCGGGTATGGTGACTTTCTTTGCCTGACATGAGTCGTGTCGAGTCTTGTATTTTATAGAATAAGCTGGTCACGCAACCAAAATGCATGAACAGTGGAAATTAACTTTTGAAATGAATCGAAGTTAGATGATTTAATTGCCCTAAATGGAAGATGAGTAATTAGATTTGCAAGTAAATTAAATTTGAGCAATCAAACTGCACCAAATTAAAGATAAACAGCTTGGATGCTCCTCCACCCAAAGTTGGTTGCATAGTGCAAATAACCTATCGAAAATTACTACACCAAATCATATGTTCGTTATTTATTACAATAAATATAAATTTAGAAGGACATGTTTCAAACTTACTATGCCCAACCTTTTTAGCTGCAAAGGCTAACCCATTCCCTCTCTTTCCCACCCACCGCAACGTGTACATTCTCGCGAATGAGCAAACACAAAGTAAAGAAATGGTTCTTGGGAACTTTTTTCAAGTAACGTCGCAATCAATATTTATGCTATTTATATACACTATACATTCAAGAAATGGTGCATTGGTAGAAGCCAAGTTTTGGTGAAAAGTCTTACTAATTAATTGATTATAGACAAAAGGGTCAAAAGCTATAGCATTGTTTTCCAAGTGCATGTACAGATTTGTGTTTTAAAAAAAAGGTTGAACCCAACATTGAGGACCCCCACCTCCCTATCCTTGGAGCATCGTGATGGAGGTAACTCGCTGGATGTATCCCAACAGACCAGGGAACAAAAACTTGTCCGTACACTGGTACTCACAAAAAGTCTAATTCCATATTTCAAGAATCGAATCCTCATATTGTGGTTACTAGCAAGGTTAAGATTACCTCACTCTTATCCTTTGCATCATTGGGTTATGCTCCGAGGGCCTACAGACTTGTGTTTTTGCCAAAAGTCAAGAAACAAGCACAATGACTAGTCTATTGTGAAAACGAGAGTTTGTACACGAAAAAATAAGGTAGATTCACATAACGTTACTGTCCCTAGAAGCCAACAAGGTAATAATTATAATTGAAAAGGCCTTAGCAAACAGGGGTGGATAATTTGGACACCTTCCCTCCAAACGGGTCCCCGTGTCATGAAAATTTCATTATCATATTTGGGCTCTCCACGAGTCTTTATCCATACCTTTTGTTTACTTCTTCCATGGAAGCATCCCTTTCTTCATATTCATATAGTAAAAATTCTACCTAGTTAAAATATGAAAATAATAATCTAGATTATCTCTTAACTAGATTGATCTTTCAGGATACAAGTGTTTGCTTCTTGATCTTCCATATATGATCTTTCAAAATATACAAAACTCTAATGAGATAGCACACAGTTAATCTATGGCTGTTAAAATTACTAATTAAATTCTCTAAAATTGAGCATGCGTGAAGAATTGTAGGGTGTACTTCAATCACATAAAGTAAGACTTATGAATCCAATGTTGTGATGTGTGAATTAATTATCAATTGCTTGTTCTTGCCTTCTTGCGCTAGGTCGAAAATTAATGATCTTATGTCAATCAATAACCTTTCAAAGTCAACCAACCTCGTACATGAAATGAATTATTTTTAGTTACATTGCAACACATCATGCACAAGTTTTAGAGCATAATGATATCTCTATATATAGTAGAACTTTATGTCGTTTATTACCATATAATAATTTATACTATATATTTTGGAAGCAATATAAATCACACACATTCTAATGGTAATCAAGCATCAAAATGTAACAAGATAATATTAAACAATCATTCAGAACAACAAGAATTAAACAAAAACGAGCAACTTCAAATTAATTTGAATAACAAGATTTCATCGTTTTAGCCGGACATAATTGAAAGCCAAGAATACGTAGTTTTAGATGAATAAGAAACTTAACATAAAGATGAAAAAGAAAAGTACAATCCTTCAATCTTGAATTGCTTTGTCTTCTTCGGTTTTTGATCTTACTATGGATGATTACTGCTTTGAATTGCTCCAAGACTTGCATCTTGTTGCATGGAATGTAGGAAGGACAATATAAGTGTTTTTTAAATTTATATAGGCCTTCAAAAGCTTTCAAACCATCCTTAAAAAGGGCAAAAACCTAAAAAAATTAAGGGACGTGCTGGACGTCCAGGCCCCTAAATAGGCATCTGGACGTCCAATTTTATCCAAAAAGGGTCGTACTGGATGTCCAGGTGCCTGGACGTTCAATTTTATCCAAAAATTAAAGTTTCCAAATCGTACCTGAAAACAGCGTAGTGGACGTATAACGAGTCTGCAGACCGCAGCATTGTCCCCGGACGCTAACAAATTCTAAGGCAGGTCCTTCAAGTTTCATTAATCATTTAATTCAGTCCATTAACTTCCAAGTAGTCCAATTTAGTCTTTTAAGATTCAAACATATCTAAATTGGTCCTCCATCTTTTATTTATACGCTTTTGGTCTTCCAAGTTTTGAGAACGTTTGAGTCGGTCCACAAATTCTTATTTGTCCCACTTTGGTTCACAAACTCTTCAAATATGGGATTTGGTTCCCCAAAAACTTGAGAAACCATCCAATAACACTTCCAAAAGCTTTCAGTCAAGTCCTTGTACTTTCCTAGGAGCAAACAACTCGACTATTTTCTCTAAAGTAAGCTCCAAAACTCTTCCTTTATGGTTAATTCACCCACAAGCCAGGATTTTCACCAATGAAAGCATTATGTACACGATTAATTAGATACTGATCAAATAATCAACATAGATTATGTTTAAAAGCCTATATTAACATATAAAATACAAATATCGAGTCATCATATTTTAAAAGCACTTTAAGGGTAAAATCCAATATCTTTTAAAAATAAAAATTATAATCAACATACAAGGACTTGAACTCCTTCTAAAATGGAAATAAAACTCAATGTTTACGTACATACTGATTCATGAATGTCGTTGCTATTAGCTATGTATTAGGAACAAAGTAGTGAACCATTATTATTAATTTTTTTTTTATCAATTTTATATAAGAGAAAGTAAAATATCAACAACGGAATTAATTATTATTGAATTGCTGATGAAAAATATCAGTGGTTCAAATTTTGCCACTTATCGGTTGGTGAAAAGAAAAAAAATCCTTCTTAGTTTACATGTAAGCACGATGTGTCTTTCTATAGTGGGGCCTGCTTGCTTATATAGCTTTCTCGTGTGCTACATTTATTCGAAGAATGAAGCTATATGTTCACCCAAGTTTACCACCTGGGTGATAGAAGCTGATTGGCTGGGGGGCTGGGGGGGCGGGGGAACAAACTTCCACCAGCCAATCAACAGTTACCACTTCTGCATTCTATCTCTCAGGTGTACCACTCGAGTGTACAATAACATTATACTTGTTCAGACCAAAACTCCTATTCTTTCCAGCTACTCTTAGAACTCCATGTGAAAAGTGTCACACTTTAAAGTCAATTTTAAACGGTCAATTCTTAAGTTTTCGGAAAATTCAGAATTCCAAAGACTTTCTGTTCCTTTTACCCTTTTTATGTGGTTGTAAGTTGAAACATTCGTAGAGAAGTTGACAACATTAAAAACAAGAAAATATGTCTGCCCTCTGCACGTTGTTGTTGGCTGTTGCCGGGAGCTTAGCTCGAAACTTGTCAATCCTAAAAGGTAATGTATTGCTTATTGACCCCTTTTTTTTTTTTTTTTAATAAGATACAGTATAAAATACTATATCAGAATTTAATTTATCATACTATTCAATCTCATCCAATTGTTACCATTTTAAGGAATCAACATTAACTCATTGATTGAACCTTTAATTACTCTCCATTATTTAGCGAAGAAATTAATGATAATAGCGCACAATAGCGGAAGACATCAAAAGCAATATTGATCGAGCCTTCGAAAGAATCAAGAATGTATACCCAATTTTGAGTCGAAAAGGTCTTATAGGGTTAAGGGGAGGTTTAGAAACCTATTAACAGAATTGCTCAGTTTATTGGGATAATTTCCAAGCTAACAAGAATAGTTCTCAACCTCCTTCTACGTCATAAGGGCACTGAGACCCCACATGAAAGACAGTGAAAAACGAGTTACTCTTGGGGAGTTATCGTAACTATATCCTTTGAGAAAGAGAGTTTTGCCCTCCCCTCCCTCGACCCCGTCTTCCTTATTATCCCATAGGACAGCGAGGAGCATGTTGTGGAATTATTCTAAATCTAGATTCAATATCCACAAGTCTATTCCAGCATGGTCGTGGAAATTAATTAGCGGATGTATGTACACATGTGTGTCACATCGATCGCATAGTGTTTTTATCATGAAATATTATTCCTAGCTATCATTCTTGAAGCTTTTAGATGTAATACAATTCCTTAATGTTTTGAAGGTAAACAGCTAAGAAGACATTGAAATGCACCAAATCTAGTAATTACAACACATTCAAATGCACCAAACAGTCTCCAATTGTAGAAAATTTTGCAAGCTTCAATCATAACTGTGAAACAACCTATTTTTTTCACTAAATTAGTTGTGCAAACATTGTATGTACTTCATAAAGCTGTATAGGGATCGAGCAATATTAGTGAAAAATTCCATGATAGTTGTTTAAAGTACACTGTGCATGAACAGGTTCAGAACCCACGAATTTGACGTACCAAATTCTTGATTTTAATGTATTTGTCTCCTTCTCCTTGCCTTTGGAATCTAACAAGTGATGGATGGATGGAGAATAACAAGAAAATATTGAACTATCTCATCATAAATTATTGTATGGTTCAAAACTTGTTGTCACTAGTTTTCTTTTTCTATTTCATTTTTTGTTGAATATATATAATATGCCTTTATAAAATAAAATGAAAAATGGAACTTGGACTCGAGAAACTTATTGAAGTGTTAAATATATGGGTACTATGTCTCCAATAGTTTAATATTTAAATGAGTTGGTTGAACAAATTAAGGTTACATTTTCCTTTCTTGTGAATTGGAATATTGTTTTCAAGAACTATTTATATGGCTTGCTTTAATGATTTTCTATATATATTATAATTAATTTTATGTGGAAAACAGTAAATTTAACTTTTAAGCTTAACCAAACATTACATATATATTTTATCGGGAGTTAGTACCAATGAACTCAAATGCAATTTGGTACTACATGTTTCCTTTCCTTTAACTAAGTTCCAACAGTAATGTGGCAATATAGCGTAGGCATCACTAATTTTTAGTTGGTGGAGAGGTTGAAAAATTCATAAAAATTTCCTTTTGGGATGCAATTGTAGAATTTTAGTATATTTACATATTTATACATGAAATTACCCCATGTTTGATTTAGTTAAAAGTTAAATTTTTAGTAGATATTGATAAAAAATGTTGAAATTTGTAATTGAAAAGTTGATAAAAATTGTGATTTTCATGAAAATAAGTTCGAAAAAAAAAATTAAAAAATAAATCCGAACCTGAGCAAGTAAGTCTAACTAAAGTTAATTAGTATTATAGATTTTTCTTGAAGAAATAAAAAAACAGTAGAGGGTGTATTATTGATATTTGAAGGAACTTGGGGAAAAGGGGAAAGCTGCAGGGTTTTCTGCACAGAGTGTGAAGTTGTTGTGTGTTACTGGGTTTGGGAATTGTGGAAGACAGTAAATAAAAGCCTGCTAGAGAATCTGTGCTCTAAACATGGCAAGGCAAAGGAAGTGACCATCTACTTACACACCCCCACCTCACCAACCCATCTCTGAATTCTGTGTATTTGGCATTACAAAGGGATCAAATCTGTACTTCAAATCTAGTTTTCCCGGCACCATTTTTTGATCCGCTACTCCAACCAATCCCTTTCCGCAGGGACCACGAGATTAGATCTAGCCGTAAGAAGAAGAATGACTGGTAGTCACACACACTTCACAGAATCCATATTCGGTTTGTCTGTAAAAACTGAAAAGTGTAGACTATAGGGTATGGTTCTTTTGGTCTTGACTAGAATTTCTTGTTGCATGGGGCGTGAGAAATTACAGTCTGGCTGGCGCTGAAGACTTGAAGTTTACTGGTAGTACACGTTTCAAACCCATAAAAAAACTGCAAGAATTCACTCTTTATTCAAGATTATTTCTTCTTCTTCTTCTTGTTAATGGAGTTTTGCTGGAAGATTACAAGACTGAGGTTTATGGGCAACAGATTAAATCTTCAGTTTATTATTTGCTGCTCGTTCTTCTTCTTCTTCTGCTGCTGTTCTTGTTTGCGAGGCATTCACAGTGCCAGAAACCAGGAAACTATTTTAGGTAATAATATTTAAAAAAAATAAAAATTAGTTGCTTCATCTAATGTTTTTCAGCCTAGATTGGAGGGATAATAATTTTTTAAAAATTTTTATGTGAAAATTTGGTCTGCTCTTTCTTTTTCCCTTTCATCTTTGTGCAGAGTGTCCATTTATTAAAAAAAGTATCTAATTTGTCAAGAAATTTTCTCCTTTTTTGTTTGTTTTGCAGGAACCAGTTGTGTGTTGCCTCATGATGCTGATACTTACTTGCAGGTAAGTATTACTGCTTAATTATTGCCAAATTTTTGTATAGTAAAATATTTATTATAAGATTATTTGGTTTATAGAATCATGCTAAATTAGTGTTAACTTAAGATTGTGATAAGAATTCAAACAACAAAAGGCTTCACGATTAGGAGCAAACCCTACAAACGGAAATTGGGAGCCCACAAAAAAGACTTTGTGCATGTGTAGATCATAATAAAATTTTGAGCAGAATTTGAAAATTTAAAATTAGGGGTTTGTATCAAGATAATTCAATGTCAGATTCAACCAATTCTACTTACACGACCCAAGAAATACATTTCGCCATCAATTCTGCTACATGTATATTGAATTTGTTTAGAAAGGTTGACTGTCCATTGATTTGAACTTCTCCGTCAACTTAATTGTACAAAATCAATGTTCAAATGGTTATATCTTTCGTTATTTCCAATTTTTACCCTCGACTTGAAATGGTGAAGATCATTTTAGGGGTAAACATTGACATGTTCCGGTAATTCGGTCCAATCCTGCTACACAAACGCGGCCTGTATGTGACAAGGGTGAGGTGGTGACACGCCCTGTGACCTCAGCCTTTGATCTGAAAATTCAAATTTTAGATCATCTCAACCCCTGTCACATGGACCCATCAAAAGTCTCTGTTTGAGTAGCAAAATTCAATTCAGTCCCTGAGATATATTGGTTGATGGAATGGAAGCCAAATAATCAGAGGTCACATTATTTCTCCATCAATCAACTTTAAATTATTCTTTTGCACAAAAAAAATTGATTTTCCGGATTATATTTCATATATTAAAATTTTAGATAAATGAAAAAGTGCATATAAAATAATTCTCTTTCATGTTATTATTTTTAAATTTTACAATAACGTACTGTAAAAAAGAGGTGTTTGTCGTTTTCAAACGAGTCCAATGTAAACTTCGATCGGCGTAATGAGTATAGCCATGTTTTCTGCTACACCCTCGTGAACCCTGGCCCCTCGTTAGTCTTTCTGAGATGACAATACCAATTATCTTCTACACTATTTTTCCTTTTTCCTAATCAAATTTATTATTTATTTATTTAATTTTTTATTTTTTATTTTTTGGATTGGTGGCAGATATTAGAGAAGAAGACCGCAGAGGAAAATAGTAATTGGGATATAGCTAGAGGGAGCATGGGTGGAGCTAGAAGACTATTGGGTGGGCCAGGATCGTCGCCACCTCGTTGCACGTCAAAATGTGGTAGATGTACACCGTGCAAGCCTGTTCATGTGCCAGTGCCGCCTGGAACACCGGTGACTACAGAGTACTATCCCGAGGCGTGGAGGTGCAAATGTGGCAACAAGTTATACGTGCCCTAATTCGTCGATCACCATCTATCATCCTATTTGAAGAAATTCCTTTGCTATTTAGTATAATGATCCATCATGAGGCATATATTATCATACACATTGACCTAATTAATGCGAATTATACTATAATTTAGTTAGTACTCACGACACGACATTGCACTTTTAAGTTTTAATGATGATAATTTATATGGTTAACAACATGTATTTGTTGTTAATTTCGATAGATATGATTTTATTTTATTGTAAACAAGAAATGTGGAACAATAACTAAAAGAAGTTCGCACCTTTTAGCCTTCTCAAAATTAGGGAAAAAATAAATAGCCAATTTGTTTTCTTACTTGTCTCCAAAATGTTCACTTTATAAGGTAAAACTGAGTATTTTAAAAGCAACAACGATTACTTACGTACAGGATTATCTTATCAATTTATGAGCATTATTAATTTGTCCAATTGGCCCTATTTGGTACCAGAAAATTTTTGCTGTATAATTGAATTTATTAATTTATACCCTATAAGGTTCACTTTATATAAATTGACCCACTTTCAATTTTATTCATTGATATTATTGTTCTACTTGAAACGTGCATGTCTTATATTTTAATTAAGAATAATGCTTATTTGCTAGAAAAAATTGGATATTTTGGTTGACATTCACTCACATGCTATGGACTCGCTTGAATAAAAAAATGCCCAAAAAGTGCACCCACTCCCCTCTTATTGTGAGTGTCTGTCAAGGAGGGTGTCAAACCTTCACTGTCAAGATAACTTGGTCCTTTAATTAAACTTGACTCATGATGATGACCATTTTTATCAAAGCGTAGTAGTTGGATTGTACGAGTTGCTCTGACTTATCCAAGTTATGGGGCTAAAAACTTGGTCCAAGTTTAGGTTCAACAAAATCATAACATAAATCGCTTTAGTCATTAAGTTATGTAAATGTTCAGTACATTTGACCGATATAGTACTATTCCATATTGTTAATTACTTCATGCCAAAAATATGCTATAGAAAAAAAAAAGTTTGAAGGAAGAGGAATTATCATGTGAGTCTCTCGAATGCTATAATAAGACCACAGTTTTCCTTTGTACACTACTTTTTAGTTCAATTTTTTCATATTGTCATATTTATGTTCCCACATTTTTTTTTGGGTCACTTTCTTATCTTCAATGTTTCACTAATTATCACATCTAGTCTCAATGATGATTTATGTCTAAATATTCTGTCTTTTTATTTTATTTTTTTGCTTATTTAAAAAATTTGAGGTACAAATAACACAGTTTACCCTGTTCTAAATGGACTTGTTAAACGAAAACTGTCATTGGGATAAAATATACTAATAAATGAAAAGTTTAATGCGATGAAAAAAATTGATAACATAAGTTCGGCAATGAATAAGTATTCATGACCTTTAATGTAATCCATAACATTAAGAGTAATGTTATTTATACTATTGGTATTTAACATAAGTCTATGTAGCATTACTAGTGGCATTACATAATTTTACCTTTAGTTGAATATATTACATAATGTCACATAAAGCACAACTAATGTTAGATAATATATTCATTTCAAAATAATAATTGAGCCTATACCTTATCGTAGATTTAGATGAAACATGTGGGGTGTGGCTCCACAATTTTATTTATTTTTTAAATACATGTGGGGTCTGTCCCCCAAACGGTGAGAGACCTGTAAGGCTCATGTGAAACTTGCACCTATACGTGCGGTTTTCCCTTATCAAAAGTAGAGAGAGAGAGAGAGAGAGAGAGAGAGAGAGAGAATGGTACACGCAATCGAGTGCGATGAAGCTTCTTTTTCTAAACAAAGTGGACACATTTTGTCAACACAGTTTAACGAAATAAGTATATGCAAAGCACGTTGAAAAATGAAGTCATAGAGTTAGGTAAATTGGTGGGATCCAACCCATAAATAATACTATAATGGACCTTATTTTATTTTCAAATTAAAATTTTGAAATGTTTGTTGGATAATGACTAAACCATTCATCACTTTTTTATAACAAAATTTCAACAAGTTATATAAAGATAAAAATTGCTTTCTACAAATAAATCGGTTTTTTCCAACTATCAACTATATGTAATTTGGTCTTTTTATCCTACAGTATCTCGACTCAATAAAGAGAACAAATTATGTGTCAAATTTACTAATCCTAACGTATAACCAATTTTGTAATACATACACAACATAAATTAAAATTTTTACTAATTTGGTCTCAAACCCTTCATCTCCTCCTCAACCCCAACCCTAGTCCTTCAATCTAATTATTTGTGCTACCCAATCCCTCTTCAATTCGTGTCCTCCATTTGGTTCACGGGTTGAACTTTTTATTCCTGCAAAGAGCAAGCAATATAAGTGAGCAGACGAGTACGTTTCCTTTATTTTCATTTTTATTATTAATTACAACTAAGAAGAATATTCTAACAAAAGTTTTGAGTTTATGGCGTTTTAAGAGTACATTTAATGACCAAGTTGTTTGAAGAATTATATTTTAAGGACCAATTATGTAATTTTGTTTTACGGAAATGACACCAAATAACTTTGAACAAGAATAGGTCATCCCTGTAACAACCGCTACGATACTTTTCTTACATTATTGACTCTCCCTCTTCGTCTCAATAATTTCAGAGAAATACATGGAAATAGCCTAAATAAAGAGGCCATTTTTCCAAAATGACCTTTGACCAATTTTATCACATGAATATACCTAAAATACCCCTCATTTTGAATATTGCCTAACAAGCTAATATAATATAGAAATCTTGCATTTTAGTCCTTAAAATTAAATATTACTTGATAGATTTTTTTTGTTTATAGATTTATTTGATTTTTGTTCGCTCTAAGTAGCCCCCCTTCCAAATTAGTATCAGAGCCATAGAGATCATGAGGAAACCCATAAAAAATAGATTACCTGAAGAAATAAAAATTTTTAGATTTAGAATAACACTTAGATTTTATATAAATTTAATAAATAATAGATTAATTATTATAAAATTAAAGGAATATTTAGATTATACATCTTGAAAATAATAATTAATTATAATATACAAATATTTATATTTACATCTTGATAAAAGCATAGAGATCATGAAAATTAAAATAAGAAAAATAGATAATTATTATAAATTAGAAGAAGGAAGAGAAAGTTATATATTTCTAAAACCTATTTCTAATAAATTAAAAATAATGACATTAACAATAGTTAAAGATTTACATAAAGAAATAAAAGAAAAAATATTAGAAAAATTAATAATATGGTAGATAAAAGAAATATATGTGTATGAAAAAATTATTAAAGAATATGAAGATGAAGAGATTAATTTATATTATAAAGAGAAGTACGAGTGTAAGTGATGATACAAATTTAAAATTAAATAAATTACTTATAAAAATGAAAAAAATACAAGAAAAAATACAGATATTTGTTATATCAGAAGGAATAAGAGTGTCAAATAAAAGACAATTAATAAAATTAAAATGTGAAAGATTAAAACTTGAGAGTAAATATTTCAGTATAGTAAAAGAAGAATTAATAAATCCAGATATAGCCAACAGAAAATTTGAAAAAAATAATAGATAAAAAAGAAGGTAAAAGATGTAAATTAACTTATATGTTAGAAAGATGATTTTAATATGTCAATAAGTGAATATATCGAAGAATTAAAGTCATTAATAAAAATGTTAATAAATAATATACAAGATTTAAGAAATGAAATAAGAGAAACAAGAAATGATATAAATATATTAAAAATTGAAATTAGAGAATTAAAAAAAATAATAAAAACAAAGAAAAGAAAATAGATAAAAAATTAATAGAAAAAGAAATGACTCGAATATGAAAGAAATATAATGAGAAAGAAAGTGTAATAATAGAAACAAGAAGTATGGATGACAAATTTAGAAAAAATATATTACCAAAAATATTAAAAGAAGAAGAATCTAGAGAAAAAATATTAGGAAAATTAAAAGTAGAAGAAAAGAAAGATAAAGATGAATAAGGAATTAGATTTACTTATAGAAAATTTTGATCAATTAAATTTAAGTGATATAAGTAAATACCAAGTTTTAATGAATACTGGAGGAGGACTTAATCCAATAGAAACTTCTAAACAAGAATTACAAGATTTAGATTAAAGTTATGCATTTATATATAATAAACCATGTAGACAATTTTATGATAAAGTAAGAGATAGACAACCACCTAAAGGAAATAAATATAGAAACAGATTTGAATTAAATGATAATTATGTAAACCTATTGATCATGGAGGAACAAAAATAGATTTAAATTGTAAAATAGATACCAAAAAAATCTTATTAATTTGGACAAATTCAATGATATTATTCTTTTTATATAATAAAGATGATACATGGGAAAATACCGAAAGAAGAATATATTTCTTAATAGTATCCTTTGAAGGAGATGCTAGAAATTGGTGGTGAGGAATAAATAATGATAACATTAATAAAAAGAAATGTACAAACAAAAATAATAAATCCAGATAGACAAGGTATAGAAAAGTTAGTATAATATATTTCAGATGAATTTTTAGGAGAAAATTGGATAAAAAATGCTGAAAGAGAAAGAGACAATGCTAGAATTAAGCTAATAAATTTAACAATATGTGATATGTGTAAAATTAAAGAATATACTTGTGAATTTAGAAACTATTATTATGTTCAATTTTATAGTAATGAAAACCAAGAAGTATACCAAGATATCTATTATAATAAACTACCAGGTTCGTGAGGAATATATTTTAAAATAGAATTTGAAAAATATGTTAGAGATAATGTTAAAATACCTAGAACTTTAGGATCAAAAATAAAATTTTTATTTGAAAGACTTGCATATATATGTCAATAAAGACAATTAATAAAAAATCAAGAAAACTAACTAGAATATATTGTGAAGATATGGAAAATCCTATACAATGGGAATGTAATCCTGAAAGAAGGGTTAATAAAAGAAAATATAAAAATAAAAAATTTAGAAATTTTAATAAAAAATATATAAAACCTAGAAGAAGATATTATAAAAGAAAAAATATCCCATATGGTCAATAGAAAAATAAAAGTCAATGTAAATGTTAAAATTGTGGACAAATAGGTCATATAAACCCTGATTGTAATAAAAAGAAAGTTAAAATATTACA